TTTTGACTTCCAATAAGAAGTAATTTGGTCTTTACATGACTTTCTATAAAAGACCACTTATTTATTTACTAAAAATATATTTTTATGACCTCCTATAAGAGATCATAAAGTACTTTACTCTCTTATATATAAAAGTCCAAATTTTAAAATCCACTCAATTTTAAAATCCACTCAAATTTTAAAATCACAAGGTATGGAAAAAGTCTAATAATAACTTTATTCATCCGTTGAGCATAGAAAGAGACTCCAAGTTACTTGTCTAAGTAAAAAATAAAATAAAATAAATCAATAAATAACCAACTTTTAATTTCTTATAAGACTTTTGTTTATGAATGAAAAGTCAAATTCTATTTTATTTCATTTCATTTTAATTATAATAAAGAAGATTTTTTTATTATTTAGAGGCATAAAATTTAATTGATTGTTCAAAATAATGATGTAGGAGTCACTTTAAAGATGTTTGCATGACAAATTATTTGTATTAAAGATAAAATCTACAAATGGATGAGTATTATATGAATCATTACATCTTATTCTATGACATCAAGTTGAAACTTTCAATCTAAAAAAATAAAAAATAAAAAATAAAAAAAACACACATACACAAAAATAAATAAAATCAAAATTAAAAATGTCTTAAGTTAATGACTTCTTTTTCTTTAAATGAAAATTTTGAATTCATATTCAAGACAATCCAAACTTCACTCACAAATACATAAAAAGAGATGCATACACTATTGTTTGAAGTGTAAAATAAATTAACATATATATATATATATATATATATATATAAGCATGAATATACACAAATATTTTAAAATAAGAACTCAATCAAAAGGGAATAATCAAAAACAAATAATAAAGAATTATAGATTTTTAATTAATTATTTAAGATAAATATATTGTTATTTCATTCTTATCAAACTTCGACCAACTATTACTTTGCTTCAATAAGAGGATTTAAACTTAATATTTTTGGATGACTAAATATGACTTATTTTTAGTTTTTGGAGACTGAAATATCATGGATCACTGAAAATATCACCTCTTCAAATATCACCATTCAAACTTTATTATCTCTTTGAAGTTTTTGAAGTGTCACTTGATATTTTAAAGATTTGAAAAAATCAAGGCAATAAAGATAGATGGAAGATAATTAAACTAAGCAAGGAAATTTTTTATATTTCACAAGTCTTTCTTGTGATATTTGGATTTCAAAATCAACCACCTTATAAGGTGTATGATTTCAAAGTATTAAGTAATATTTTGAAATATCATAGCATACTTTGGGATATCATCACTATTAAAATATCATCCAAAAATCTTAGGTTTGAATCTCCTTAATGCACAATCTTCAATTCTACATCAAAGTTTCTATAAAATCTAAAACAAAAAAAATTCAATTAAAGATATGATGCATCTAGATTTACTAATAGACTTTAAAAATAGAATATGTATACTTGAATTTGTATATTTTTTATATGAATGCATATATTGATTTATTATTTTTTATCATGGATTTCTAAGGTCATCTTCAATGTAATCAAAGTGAGGTGGAAATAGATTAGCTCATCAAAAATCCTACCTCATACCTTGTAAGATGAAAAGATTATCAATCTTAGCTAGCACAAGCATCTAGCAATGATATGAATGATAAACAACTAAAAAATTAATATATTCTTGTGTTATTAAAAAGAATAGATAATTATTTAAAAATAGTATAATATTAAAATTAAATTGATTGTTACAAAAGATAGGAAGATTAAAGATCTTTAAAGCAAGTCTAAGATCAAAGAAGATATTGACAAGAATAAAGAAGATTTTACTCTTCTATATATACTATCAAACTAAGAGCTATATAGCAATGTTCTGTATAATCTCTAACACATGTCTAACTTATGAAACACATATCTAAGTTACAAGATAAGTTTTTATATATTTGCCCTATGGCCAATTTGTACCATAAGTGGCTAGCATGAAAAACATATAATAAATCTATTTATCAAATTTTCAATCTTTTAATCACCTCTAGACATACACAAAGTAAAATCTACTTCTATGAGACTTTTATAGAGCTATTTATTAAGATATTATACAATATACCTACTTTTATAAACTTCTACCTAATTCCTCTTACTTAAGTAATTAGAAGTGTTGATTATATCTATAACAATATCCTAGACTAAACTCTTATCAAGTGACATCAAGAATTAGTACATGTTTTAGTAGATACAAATTTTAAAATATATTATTTAAATAATAAGATTAACTAGAAGATTAAAGAAGACAAGAAAAAGATACCTTCATGTAAATCTTACAACATTGATAAGATATATTGGAAATTATTTACAAATACTCATAGCATACAAAAATTATTTTAGATGTTATAGAATTCGATTTGGAATATTTCAACACAATAAGCTTTAGCAAGGTAAAATAATTAGCCATATGATTAATAAGTAATTTAATAATTTTAATCTTGCTTTCTTGCAAACAAAAAATTAGTTTTGAGTTGAATATATAACATAGAAAATAGATGTATAGAAACAAAGAAGAAAGAAGATCAAATCTTTTTTTATAAATTAAGATACTAATTTTTTAAAATTATTAATTATGTGCATATTTCAAAGTTGAAGACATTTGACATATGATAACCTTAATATATATATATATATATATAAGCTTATTTTAATGATGAAGCATTATGCAACATCTTTGAAGAAGTATATACAATCCTTGTCAATACAAAATTAGATCATGAATATTGTACATTTGCATCAAGGTTTGTAATATGAACTTATAAGACTTATAAGTTCATATTACCACTTATAAGACTTCATGATACAATATAACACAAAGTTTTTTTTGGTAAAAAACCATTGCTTTCATACATCTATCATCTTAGCTATTCTACTTGATATTATGTGCCAATAAAGAAGTGCCATAAGCTTCAAGCTAAAGCACAAAAAATGATATGAAATTTTTGATTCCAAAACCAAGATTTTCATCTTTAATAAAGTCATGATTTTTTTTAACAATAATATAGAAGGAACACTTATCAAAGTTTCATCACAAAATGCAAAAACTAAAAGTAAAGAAGACCATGTTGTAATGTTGCATTTTAAGCAAGAAATGCTAGAAAATTGATAATAAGACTTAAAATCCTAAATTTATATAGAATAAAAATAGTAAAAACTTGGTACAAATATAGGCTTTGCTACAATAGAAGCAATTACATATGAAGAATATGTTGAACATATGCAATTTGTATGGAAATATTTTGATCTTTTAATCAAAATAGTAAATATTGTTGATGCCAATTAATACTTGGAGGCCTATTTAAAGATAATTTAGTAGACCATGAATTTACTATCTAGCCAAGAATAAAAACATGTAATGGAAGAGGAGTTAGACTCATTGAAACAATATAGCACATGAAAGTTTGTTGCCTTAGATAAGAAGCATTAAATCATGTAAGGCACCATATTTGTGATTTAATGCTTGTAATCATTGTTTAATTTGACAATGTGCTAATTGGAGGATAAAATTTTAAAATCTTCACAATACACAATGAAGAGTTCTTGGAACAATATAAGATGAAGGACCTTGGTGAACTAAACCACCTTTTAGGTTTAAACCCCCTTTAAGACAAGGAAGTCAATACTATGTCTCTAAGTCCAACAAAGTACATCACTTACAAGCTAAAGGAATTTCAAATAGAAATTTAAAGCTAGTGGCAACTTTCATGAAGAAAAGGTATCTCGCCAAGCCTCATAATCACAAACTAATGGATGTAGATGGAGTAAAGCCCTACTAGAGAGCCATGGGCTACTTGTTGTATCTTACAAATAGCACAAGGTATGATATTACCTTTGCATGTGAATACTTTGTCCAATACATGGTGCATCTATACATCTCATGTTGGCAAGGAATCAAGCACATTTTTTTATTGTTCATAATAAAATCCTAAAGTCAGTGGGGTCGCAACAATGAGTTGGCAGATTTATTTGCAAGCTTCTCAAATAAATCTGCCAACTCATTGTTGCAACCCCAGTGATACTCCTGCCTTGAAATGTTGATTTATCTGTAATTCATCCATCATTATGTCCACTCAAAAAATGGGATTGTAATTTAAAAGATGTTAGACTATTAGAAAGAGGCTAAATATGGGCTAAATATACACAAAAATTTCTCCATATGTCAATTTTATGGCCTTGCAAGGATCCAAAGCAAGTGCCTGACAATCAATATTTCAAATACATTAATTATATTAGTTTGCTATGTGAATAATTTTTTTAAATGAATACATTTCAAATACAACAGTGATCCATCTAGATTCATGATTAAGTATCTTGCAATTGTAAACCAATAGAAGCACTGTAAATGTAATGAAACCTTCCAACTTTTTACAATGTGAAGGGCAATTGGAGTTGTATCCCACAATTCAACAATTGGATATTGCATAAAGTATATCATAGCTATGTCATAATAATAATGAAATAAATTATTGTGTCAAAAAATATTGAAGATTAACATTCTTAGTTTGTAATAGATTATTAAACTACAAATTATCTTGGGTTTCTTTTTTCTTTTTTATTCTTTTTCCTGTTGGGAGGGAGGAGGTTCCTTTGTTTTCATCTTTTTATATTCAATTCAATGTCATCAAATGTTCATTTATTTAATTTTTTAAAGAAAAATTCGAAACTTGTAACTGAAATCAAAATGATACGACACACACAACATGAAAATTTTCTTCACTTTCCGTATCACTACTTTCTGGTGGAGTTGCCCTTTGCCACTTTTACTTTCTCATGAAACCAGAAAAACATCCTCCTAGTTCACAACAATGTCGGATCCTCCTTTTGGATGATCATAACTAACGATTTTCCGTGCCTCGAAATAAAACGCATTCATCCAAATAATCAACGATATCCAAAGGTGAACCGGTATGGGCAGGGCGGCCTCGTAAACCTAACCCTAATAATCTGCTTGTTTAAATCCTGTGCAGTTCGAGCTCTCGTATCTCTGTGGAGTTGCTTTTCGTGAAATCTTGCTCTGTTGCTACATTGTGGCTCCGGGTTTTTTTGAGTCCTTGTTTTGTAAGATTAGGTCTTGTAAGTGTTAGGGTTTGGTAGGAGAAATGGCGCCGAGCATCATGAAGAAGAAAGACCTGAAGGAGAAAAAGGTGCGTGTGAAGAAGCCCTTGAGTGTGAAGGCCAAGGTATCGAAGAAGCTGAAAGCTACTTCGAAAGAGGAGGTAGAGAGGTCCTTGAAGATTGCCAGTATGCTTTTGGAGAAGGAGGAGGTTCTGCACTCTGAAGATGAGAGGCTTTCAGACGATGATTACATCAAGAGCTTGAAGGTTGACCCCATAGCAGTGGATAAAGAGGATGATGGATTTGAAGTAGACAAGGGTGATGAGGGAGTTGTTAAGGTGAAGGATGTGAAAGTGACGAAGAGTGGAGAGGTGAAAGTAGAGGTGCCTGACTCTCGGGAGAAGAGACCTAAAGTTGCAAACAGCTTGAGGTCTCTGCGATTAGCGATTGCGGCGAAAATGAAGAAGAAACAAGATGATCAGAAGGCGAAGATGCTTGCGAAAGGGGGATTTGACTCTGATGATGAGTGATGAGTGATCAATTCACGCCAGGTTCAGTTTGGAAAAGGACCGCCTCGGTGGTTATCCGTGAAGGAACCCTTGATGTAGTGGTTGGGAGTGGCACCGCCAAGCTTTGCCAATCCGCGTGTGATTAACTCCTTCATTGGAACGAGGTGAGCGTTGTTAAGTTTTCTACTCGCTTAATCGTGTTTTGGAGTTCTCAATTATTTCTATCTGCAAGTGGTATTTTAATGTGCACCTATATGTTGCTTTTGTGTTACAGGGTCACGCAGGTATTTACGCCCAGTTTGCGATGTATCAGGGATGCCCTGGTAACTCGTATCATTTGTTCTCATCGAAATCTTTACCCGATTATGCCTTAGCCAGATAGTGAGGCAATCGTGTAGAATATTGATATCTACGCCTATGTCCACAAATCGGACTTTTCACTCTCATCTGTTGCATTAATTAGATAGTCATTAAGTCGTCGCTTCGATATTCTTTAGTGCTCATGCGGATTCAAATGATGAAGACAAAACTCCAGAACGACTCTTTTGGTTCACAAAAGAGCTTGTAAAATGATGGGTTTTATGTCATAGTTACACTGATGGATCCCTACTCATCTTAAATCCGGACAGCGATGAAATTTGTTTCGGCCCTCTCGCCTGAGTGCGATGTACAGAGTGTCTACAGTCTAATATCCGGTGTCCCTGCTAGATGATTTGTATCAGGAGTGTTAGTTATGGTATTCGTGTTACTGTGTCGAGAAGGAAGTATGTCTGGTTGAGTGAATCATCCGAGGAGGTCCACATGATGAAGACATAGCACAGAACCTCACTCTTGGTTCACAAGAGTGTTGGCAAAATGATGGGTTTTATGTCATAGTTACACTGATGGAACCTTAGTCCGGCGAATATTTAATCATGCAGTTTCTTCAGATTTATAGATAAAATCATCTTTAATCTAAGATAATTTCTTTTGCGGCTTTTTGGGAACCAGATTATTCAGAGTTCAAAATATGATATCACCTGCAGTAAATGTGAACAAAATAAAATAAAAGAGCCCCATGAAGCTCGCTAAACATTTATAAAAAAATCACTGCGCTAGTCTTAAAAAAAGTTCAAACGATATGTGCAAGTATTGTATATTTTCATCTTGAACGAAAGACATCTTGATCGAGAATGTGACCAAGGTTGGTTTGAGCGATTGAATGGCAATAGGAGCTTGCTACTAGCGATTTCGAAGGTCAATTCTTGGGGAGGGCCTGGCATTGCCTCTTAATAATATTTGCATAGTACGTACGTCTGTGTTAGCTAAATAATTTGCAAATTCTTGCGAGAGAGGATGTCAATGGAGGGAAATTGGACATCTTTAAACCGGCTGCTTGCAAGGGGACTCTTGAGACTACAGCAAAATTAATTATATATCTCACAATAAAACTTAACTTGCGGGTACAACGAGTTGAAAATATTTTTGAAAGTGGTTATACACTGCATTTGTGTGCAATGTTAGTACCAAACATTGTTAGACGTTTTAAAAATAGCATCCACGTGCTACATGAAATGTGGATGGAAGTTAAGATTCCTGCTCTCTAAAATCTCTACATAGACAGCATTTACAGAATACTGTAAGAGTTTGTTCCGGCTGGTCTGGAACTTGTAGGTGATCTTGGTAATTTCTTCTTACTAGCCGCCTTAACAACAAATGTTTTTACAGCCAAGATTTTGAATAGCCATAGAATGGGATGGTGGATGAGAGCTCAAATTGAAAGTGAACAATCAAGTAACAAATATGAACAACTCGGAAATATTTAATTCTTTCTATTTAATGCCGATTTAGTATAGAGAAGATTCACCAAATGAAAGTTTATTCGACTATATCCAACGTCAACGTCAGGAAACAAACTTCTTCTTAAGGCAAAATAGATGCTATTACAACAGCAAAAAAAATTCTAGCTTGGGGCCTTCTATACAAAAGCAAGGTATGTCTACATTACTACCCTTGAGTATACTTTCCATGCCTAACACTAGAATGGAAGGTTATATTTTGGTTAGATATTAATGAGAAAAATGCTCACTAGGCTGTGACAAGATATCAGTTCAATGAGAAAGTGAATTCAACTATAGCAATTTTTGAACCTGATTCTACACGACCAGCAGAGGTGGCGTCACAATCAAACGAGTTAAATATAATATGTGTACTTGTGCATTATCATTCTAGTATAGACCGGATGCAGCTCTGGAGGTTGACACATAAACATTTGCTTCCATATCTAATCAATAAGAATTAGATTCAGATCAAAACAATTCTTCAAACGAAGATAGCAGCTTCATATTAGCCAATTTTAATTTGGATTTAGAGCGAAGGATATCTTTCGTAGGCCGCCTCAAAATTTCCCTCTTGGATTTAGAACCAACGCTAGAAATATCTTCACCAGCATCTATAGAAGGTTTGCTCCCCACTCTAGAATCGATTGAGATGAATACTCTTGAAGGTCGAAAAGATAATCTGCATCAGACAATAGAGCCAAACCAACTTTCAATCTCTGCAGAAATTTGTAAATTAGATCAAAGCCATGACCTTTGGCCCTCAACTGGTGGCATATGCATACAACAATTGAAAGAATTCATCATGATAATTTTTTTGCATTAGAATTAATAAAGCATGAGGAACTTCCAAACATGAGTTGATAATATACACAGTGAGGACCCATGAGACACACACAACAAACACATTGTGAGTAGCATTTGTTCAATACACCCTGATTATTGTAATCCAAAATACAATTAGTCTAATCGTGTCTAAATTCACTGCTTCAATCAACTCTAGATCTGAATTGAAGAGTTAGGAATCCACAAGGGCTGGGGATTTCAATCACATCCCAGATTGAGGTCCCTCTCTCATGAGTGCAGTTCAAAGAGGCTCTCAAAGCAAATTGTGTGAGAAAATCTTAGTGTTGGTGGATCTCTATGGGTGGGTTCTTGATAATACAAAAAGACAATAAAACCATCAAAAACAAAGGCCCTTGATTCAAAAGAAATATTTGATAATATGTCTAGGTCATTGTTAATAGGCATTTAATGGTTGAATTTGTTGTCCCCATACTCATCTATTATTAGTAAGTTTGACCAATTATTTCACACTAACTTGGATCTAGGAGGCAAGGCCAAAAAGTAGTAGTATGCTTTGGAATTCAATTTGTCTAATTCATACAGATATATAGAATAACAATACAACTTATTACTTTTGACTTCTTAAAAGTTGGTAATCATGTAATAGATGATTTGGCAAATTGTTTATTAAAGTTGTATGCAACAATAAAGGAACAATTAAAAGAAGCTCAAAAAAAAAAAAAAAAAAAAAATCAACAAAGATGCCTATTGCAAAGAACAACTTGAATTCTATATTGATACCAAGATATGGTTACTTTATCATAATAACAAGACAAATTGTCATTGTCATAAGTTCAATTATTATAAACTTGAATCATTTCCTATTTATGAATAAGTTAATTTATTTTTTTATCAATTATATCTACGAAAATCAATCAAGATTTAGCCCATATTTCATGTATCTTTTATTGAGTCATACAAGAAAGTAGATATACTAGAAAGAAGAAAAATGCCACCTCATCTAATAGAAGTAGACAATAATCAAGAGTTTAAGGTCAAAGAAGACTTAGACTCAAGATATCATTGAAATAGGTTGGAATATCTTAGACATTGGTGCGGACATGATATTAATTAATACTTTTATAATCATAGATTTGATTTTTTTATATTTTTATAGGTGATTAGTAGGTTGAAAACTTAGCCAACAAGTTGGCCACGTATTATATATGTCAATGACTTATGATACAAGTAAACCATATGGCACACATATAAAAAAACTTGTCTTGCAAGTTAGGCATATATTTTGTAAGTTGGACAAGTATTAGAGGTTTTATAAGACATTACCTTGTAGATCTTAGTTAGATAATATATATATAGAAAAAAGAGTGGAGTCTTATTTATTTATTTATTTATTTATTTTATTTATTTTTTCTAGTTTCAAGAGATTTTAATTTTCTAGTCTTTGGCAATTGTCACGGATATACTCATGTAAGCCAGTAATTACATATACAAATAGGTAGAAGTAAGTAAAAATAGGTAAAAGTAAGTTAATTCTATAGTATTTGATATGGAAGCCTTCTAGAAGCTTCATAGATGCTGCTTTGACTTCATAGGTGTCTTTAATTGACTTTTTGGATTAGAAATGTGGTCAACAAGTTGGCCATGTGCCACACATATTGTTAGCTTGAAGACCAAGCTAACTATGTAGCCCACATGTAGAAAAACTTATCTTATAAGTCAAGGCATGTGTCCTACAAAGTCAACACATATTGGAGGTCGTATAGAATATTGCCACGTAGCCCCAAGTTAGATAGTATATATAGAGACAAGAGTGAAGAAGGCTTCACTCTTATCAACTCCTTTCTTGCTGTTAGGGACATACTACTTAGAATCTTCTAGAGACAAGTTTCTAGAACCTTCTAGAAGCAAGTCTTTGGAACCTTCTAGAAGCTTCCTTGTTTGTAGAAGTTGCTTGAGAAGCTTCCTAAATAGGAGTATATATTGGAATCGAGGCTAAAGAGTTCTTCAGTCTCGACAACACATGTCTTGGAGCTCTAGCTCACCTCTCTAGTGTTGTTCTTGTATTCATCTGATTAATCTAGTTCTTGCCAATTCTTCTTGAACTTCTTGTTAGATCTCGAGCCTGTATTTCTGTGTCCGTGATAGTTTATCAAGAATGAACTCACCTCAGATATCAGAGTTAGTTTCTTCCTCATTAGAGTGTGGATTACTCCTCTGTTTGAAGGTGTACTAGCGTTTTAGAGGTTGTGGATTACCCTCTTCTAAATTGATACTTCTTTTGTTACAATATTGGAGTCTTATTCTTCTTGGAGAGAGTAGATTATTCCTTTTCTTGAAGCTCTTAAGGCGTTTTAGAGGTTACGGAGTACCCTCTTCTAAACCAATATTGTCTTCTTGTAGAGTCATTTTTGTCCTTCTCTTAGAATGGCTGGAGGCCAAGACATTAGTATGACAGAAAGTTTAGAGTCCAAGTTGGATGCTATCATGAATGTCCTCGCTACGTCATCGCAAAGAACTACAGAAATTGAAGGAGTCGTGGCAAGGCTTTATAATGATGGAGCATCTGGGATGGCACAATCTAGGTTGTACCAGCCTCAAACTTCTGTACTTGGAGAAGCAACTTTGCCTCAGGTTCGACAAGCACCGCTGGTTCTACAACATAAGGAGCCCCGAGTTAGCCTTCCAGACAAGTTCAATGGTACGCGTTCCAAGTTTCGAGGATTCGTCAATCAAATCAGGTTGATAACAGTTTTACAGCCCGAACGCTATCCAAAGGAGGAGTCACGTGTTGGGCTTGTTGGAACCTTACTTACAGGACAAATTCTATCATGGTTTGCTCCTTTGTTTGAGAAACGATCATCCACATTAAACAACTTTGAAACCTTTTTGGAGGCGTTTGCGAAAGCATTTGGTGAACACGATAAGGTTCAATGGGCTACAACAAAGATCCGATCACTACAACAAGAGATGCTCTCTACATCAGTCTATGTATCAGATTTTAGGTAATTAGTATGCGACATCAATTGGAATGAAGAAGCATTGATGAGTCAATTCTATTGGGGTTTAAAGGACGATGTGAAGGATTTGTTGTTAACCCTTCCTAATCCGCAAATGCTCAATGAAGCTATTAGCCAAGCTAAGAAGTACAATAACTGCCTATTCCAATGCTGCCAAGACCAACATTCAAGACAACATACAGTTCGCCATGCCCCACCTATATCGGCAAGCAGGGTGAATTCACATTCAGAGGTAGAAGACATGTAAATTGATGCATATGTGTCAAATTTCTTATTCTAAAAGAAAAAAAGGGGCGTATGGAGGAAGGTCTATGCTTGTATTGTGGTGAAGAAGGCCACAAAGTTGAAAACTATTCCAAGAAGCAAAATCGACATATTGTCAGGACTAGGGGCATGTTTGTTCAAGAAAACGAGGATGCCCAGCTACAATAGGAACCGTGCGGCTGGACAGTGAAATATCGCAACAACAACCAGGTTCCTTTCTTTCTGCTCAATCTGCCCTT